ATTTATTTATTTAATATTTATTAAAATTAAAAATTAATTTTTATTTTTACATAAATTTATAATAAAAATATACAATATATTTACTCAATATATATGTTAAATATTTTACAAAAAATCAAAAGAAATAGGAATAAGATATGTAATCTCTTAGCTCTAGGTTTTTTCCATCTAATTTCGTTATTTTTGTTTTCTTCTTGGTCATAAATTTCTTGATTTTATACCTATGAAATTTCGAGATATATTCTAAAGAAAAAAAAAAAGAGGAAAACTCCACATTTGTTAACACAAAAATATCGACGATGAGATCTAGTAAAAAAATTATATGTATTTTTAACTACAAATATAAAATTTAACCCTTCTTTACATTTGAAAAAAAAATAACGAAAACATCATCACCATCCAATGTGAAAGACCAAGAAACAAAGCATAATTTCAAACAATCTTAAACTTTTCCTCAAATCTCACTTTTTCATTTATTATATCAAGCATGATAACCTTAATGATCTAAAAAGAAAGAGCTCCCCTGGTGAAGTTATTTTGGGAGAAAATTAGAAATCGTTTCAACAAGGATTAAGAAAGTTGTGAACAATAAAACCATATTTTCAAAAATTACAAGTTAAAAATTTGATTGCATGTTTATTTGTTCCAGTTTTTGAAAAAAATAGTTTTGTGAAAACTGAAATTATACTAATAAATGCAGTTTTTTCAAGGGTAAAACCCTAACTCTCAAACTTTTATCAGATTTTTAATTAAATTTTTAAATTTTTAAATAAATAAACTCATAAATTTGTTAACTTAGATAATTTAATTCTCTTTCTTACAACAAACTTAATATATGTTTATGTTTTACTTACATGAACAAATTTGATAATTTAAAAAGATATACAAAGAAACTTTTTATAATTAAATGATTAATTAAAGTGAATAGATAATTATAATATTAAAGTAGAAAAAAAATTTATTTACCTTAAAAAATAAAAAAAATGATTTGAGATAAATTTAAAATAAAAA